TGATATATAGGATAGGATTCACTTACAGTATATAGGGTGAATCAGTGGGTTATTCACATTACGATTTTATTTAATAGGATAAAAACAATTTCTTCTTCCAAAGCTGGAAGAACTCAACTCAGGTAAAAGTAAATTCTTACTAAATTTCTTCCTGTTCTGACCTGCCATTGATCCTGAACTTTACTGAAGTGAATCATCAGAAGATCGGTTAATGAAAAAACACCAAGAACCCTTTAATGTTCTGCTCGTGTGATGATCAGTCTGAAGATATCGAAGGTGTCAGAACAAAATGTGTTCAGATGCTGCTGAAATATCACACTGGGATTAAGTAGTAACTTTAGAAATAATAATGTCAGCGTAAAATGCCACCAAATACTATGTCGTGTCACTGATTTTGAAAAAGCAGAAATCCTTAAAAATGTCAGCTCCCCAGCAATGAATACGACAAGCCTCAACGACCTCACTGCCTTTTCTCTTTTCGCAAAGAATGAGGATTTCAAGTTGCTGTCAAAATAAAGATGTGATTCATTATGTCAAGACAACAACTTTTCTTCCTCCGCATCGTCTCACCAGCTGCTGTGCTTAGTTGGAGAGGCCTTTGACGACTACAGCGACGATGTCTGCGGAGCCGTGGTCAACGTCCGCACAAAAGGGGATAAAATAGCCGTCTGGACGTCAGACTACGAGAACCGCGAAGCTGTAACGCACATAGGGTGAGGCAGATCAGATCGCGGTCTGTTTAAGTATTCTAAGCACTGAAAGCCTCCTCAGCCTCTTACGTTGTCATTTGGTATTTCAACAGGAGAGTTTACAAGGAACGCTTGGGGCTTCCCGTGAAGATGACTATTGGTTACCAGTCTCATGCAGACACCGCTACCAAAAGCGGTTCAACCACCAAGAACAAATTTGTTGTTTGAGAAAGCCCTTATGTGCCTCTTTTCATTATCTTGTCTTATTTTGTTGTTGGTGCACATGTTTACTTTGCTGCAAAAGACTCTGCGGAATGCAATCTGGAAGGAAATAAAGAGTTCATGCCAAATGTTGCCATAACCTGCCCAGGAACTTATACCACAGGAAAAAAGAAATGCAATGGAAAACAGATGAATGCAAAAACTTCCACAAACACTAATAATGAGAGGTATTAATAGTGGATGTCATTTAGAGTGCTTCATTTTGTACTAAACAAAATCGTTCTGATTTTATATTTTTATTTTGCGAATGGCAGGGAATCAGAAAATGTATATTTCTCACCCGTTTTACAGCATCGTTGGTTTGGCTGTAATCCTTATTGACATTAAACTCTTTTAATTTATTATATTAATTTGCTTGCATATTATTAGAATGTTAGACCTTCGTTTTATGCTTCTTCTTTTTTTTTTTGCCTTGAGCCATTGCACGTAATCAACCTTTTTAAAGTGTTTCATGACATATATTCATTTGAGTGTTAATATAATTAAAACATTGGTTTTGCAATTATTAACTGTTAAATTGTGGATTTATTTTGTTGCTTCCTGTAAGTGGTACATTCCTTGTTATAAACGCTTTACTAATTGACTTGTGGTGGTGCTCTATTGATGGACACTGACTTTTTCAAGTTGACTTATCAGCAGTGACGGGCAGAGCAGCCGTGAAGTAAAAAGACTAATGTAGATATGATTATACTTAAGAAAAGAGCACTTGGTGTGAAATCTGGCTCTGCCTCGTTTTAAGATCCCTTAAAATGTCAGTAAAAAACACTTGTGAGAGAAAAGATTAGTGTGGGAAACGCGGCGTCAGTCCATTGCCACCAGAGCAGCTTTCAAATGTCACTTCGTCGTGACAAATATCATCACGTTCTCGGTGTTCTTCTAATAAACCAGCAGGCGACGCTTCTACACAGATCCTTCTTGATCTGATGAAGCTTTAAGTGGCTCTTTAATGAGGTCTCTGCTGCAGTTCTGCTGGTAACCTTTAAAGCACAGCTGTTTATTCATGTAAGATCCTTTACAAGCATGCACTTACATGATAAACACCATAAGTAAAACATGTAATAATGTATTCTGTTTAGAGCAGATGCTTCAAAATATCTCGAATCAGTAATTAGTCTGCACCAGTGCAGCAAAATGCCACAGTAACCTGGCAGATTTTTGTACTTTTAACTAATATGTAAGATTTCTATGCTAATAAAATGTTAAATAACTTAAAAAAATCCGATGCAGCAATAAAAAAAAAACATTTCTATTGTAAAGATGATACACAAGCACAGTAAACGACCTTGGGGCAGATTCGAGTGATTAAATCTTTCAAAGAATAAATGAATAACAGAATTAACAGGTAGTTAGAATAAAAAAAATGTCTGAAATGTGCTTCAACTGGCAAATTTGGGAGGAAAAAATAAAGACAAAGGTTAAAACTTGTAACATAATTGAAGGGCCTTAAGTGTCATCGATCAACAGGACTGTAAGGTCTAATAAGTCTTTGGAAATCCATTCCAACAGACCGAGTCTTAATGTGTTCTGCAAAAGCTGAAATCACTAAGAATTGATCAACCTTTTAACACTGCATCGAGGCCATTAGTTTTAAAAAAAAATCTAAGAAACATCTTCCTAATTCCCTTTTGTCAAATTCAGATTTGCAGTGTCTCAGAGGTGCCTTAATGGAGGAGCTGCACAGAGGGGATTAAACAGGAGATAATGGATT